ACAGCGTCGACTACCCAACAAATCTCACTAAATGCCAAGACAAAAGTAAATGAAATTGCACTAAATCTACGGGGAATTTTCTACAGAAATATTCAACCTTTGGCACAGCTCGAGTTGGGCCCGAAATTGGGTTAGCAATTGTGCCCAGCAACGGCGCTCCAGCCGCCTGCCGCTCGCCGCCCCCTTCTGGTGGCCTCTAATCTGCAAAAGGTACGAACAGGCCTAGGCCAAAGTGATAAACCGTTTCCACTGACATCGCATATAAATCTGCGACAAAGTTGCGTCTGCCCGACACACGGACAGCTCCAAATCGTGCCGGATTTGTCACTCCAAATCGTTGAAAATCTCGTGCGTTGTTTATTCGCTCTACTCCCCCCTCCAGCCGTCCCCCGTTTAGTTTAGCTCGTGAATTTTTGAGAATTCTGCTCTGGCGATAGCAAAAAAACAGCAACAAAATAAGAACAGCTCGTCTCTGACTGAGTCGTAAATCTTCGAGTGGCTTATCTGCAGCAAAGCTATGTGCTTTTTAATTCGCTGCAGGAAAAAAAATATGCAAAAATCCGGGGCAGAAAAAAAAGAGAAACGAAACAATGAAAATCTAGCAAATGTTAATGTTTATTTAAAATTAGGCACATGTTTAGCCTGCTCAAGCTGCGATGAGCTCCTCTTAAATGCGAATATTATTTATAGAGACAACCGAGGCTCAAAAGATGACTGTCCAAATTAGTTTAAGGAATTGCCTACGCGAGTGTAATATTAACGAATAGTGTGAGACAGGGAGAGAGAGAGAGAGAGAGAGAGTGAGAGAGAGGGAGATAGTGAGAGAGGGAGAGTGAGAGATTGAATACACTTGTCTCAGACTTGTAGCTCTAAGAAGACGAAACTGCTTGGGTGTTTAGTTTAGTATCAACGAATAGTGAGAGAGAGAGAGAAAGGGAGAGAGGGAGAAAGGAAGAGGGAGAGGGTGAGCACGAATATACTTGTCTCAGACTCATAGCACCATGAAGACGTAATTGATGTGGTATTAGTTTGGTATCATCGGATAGTGAGTGAGTGAGAGAGAGACAGAGAGAGAGAGAAAGAGCATCATGAAGACGTAGCTGCTTTGGTATTTAGCTCCGCATTTTTTCTTTATTCTTTTCAGTCTAAGTTATTATTTAAATATCTGTTTAGGCGAAACTAATTAGATATCTCTTTGCCTATTCAACTGAAACAAAATGTGTAATGTATGTTGATTATTTATATATTTTGTGCATAACATTTATACATATATACATAATATGATTCCAATATATCAAATATAAATAGATGCCACAAATAAAATACGGTCAATATTTCAGTAATAATTCTCTATGAGTCGAACGCATTAAACTAAAATATATATATATTTATATTCATATTTATAAACAGTTTTAATTAATTTATACAACAAATAGCTTAAATTGATTTTTAATTAAAACCAGCAATTAAAATAGCATATACTTATATATACAGTTATTATATTGTATATGGTTTATATATTTTCCAGTGGCCAAAACAAAAGCTCTCATATGAATGCGTTCAAAAGTAGTTATATACATACATACATATAAAGTGCTTATCAATATTTAGCGTCGCTTTTAGTAGGTCGTTTATCACCGAGCACAGGCAGCCCAGCACAATGCCAGCGATGCGAACAAAGCGAAGTGGATGCGCTTATATGCATATCTGTGAGTTGATAAACGAGATGCCACATAAAACATTTTGGCTTATTACCACTCATATATATAAGTAGATACATATATATACTTTTATTTAGCCGAAACATAAGCCAACAGTGCAATCTGGTCAGGGGTTGGAGCTATTCAAATTTCAATTATTTGAGCTTGTCATTGGAAAAGATGATTAGCACAAAGCGAAAACAAAAACAAAAACAACAAATAAAGCAAACGCAGCGCAATTTGATAAATTTGATTAGATTCTGGCGCAGTAAATAATTGTATGCAAATTTATTTAAATGCATATTTACCCGCGTAATTGCTGCAAATTTACGTTTCATTTAGCCGCATCGTCGCCAGCAAAACGAGAAAAAAGAATAAAAGGACACAGGTCACAGGACCTCACGGCCAAGCAAATGACCAAATGGCGGCAATGAAAAAGCGGCAAACAGATTATAACTCCCAGCTGATATTGTGGGCTTTATTATTTGGCCATTGAAAAATGTGACGCTGCTTGGCTCAGCGGCTTGGCGACCCAAGTGGACTTTCATTTTTCAAAGTTAACCCGCAGCCTGGGCGAACCTTTTTTTTTTTTTTTTTTTTTTTTTTTTTTTGTGTTCGTTGGAGGTTCTGTGTTTGTTTAAACATCGCCGGGATTTGCTCGCCAGCTCTGCAGCTGTTTATTGTTTACCTTTTGGTCTGTTTGCTGATTGATCCCTCGGGTGGCTGGGTGGGTCAGCGTTTCGTTTCGTTACGTTTCGTTTCGGGCCGGCGTAATTAATTTTGCTTTTTGATTAGTGCATGGCAAAAAGGAGAATCATCAAATTGTCACGTAATTATATTTGTGTTAATGATGTTTCGTGCCAGCCATGAAAAGTCAATTAATATTTGGCAAAATGAACAATTTAGATTTGACATCAAAATCAACATCAGCGGCGCGTCGAGGGCCAAGGGCCGAGGGCTGAGGGGCGAGCGGATTCTTTAATTAAAAATTGCTAGGCCGCAGCTTTATGCATGCTGTGATTTTTAATTTCAATTGAAATTGCAGTCCTCTACCGAAATCTGTAATATTTGATTCATATTTTTCCATCATTTGAAATTGAGTTGTTATTGTTGTTGTTGTTTTTTTCTTTTCGTTCTAAAAGTCATTCAACTCGAGTCGGGCACGCGACCTTAAAGCTGAGTCAGATGCCAACTGACTGCTCCATTAAATTATATAAGCGTTAAGTGGCTATTAGCCGCTATTTAAGCCAGAAACAGGTTTTTTATTTGGCTGGCAGCAATTCCAGTTAACCGACTGAGACAAAATTGCAACAACAACTGCGAAAGTATGGAACAGCATTAAGAGAAGGTGTGAAACGGCTACCGAATATATTCAAATGAAGAACTGAAGCAAATCGAAAGGCACTCGTAAATGCCTATTAAGCATTCCATTTGCATTTAGTTTGTGAATTTCAAATATTTCGTATAATTATCATTGTTGCTTGGCAATTTTAGATTGCATTCTGCACTCATGGCGCGTTTTTAATTGCAAACTTTTGTTCGTTTGGCTCAAGAACTATTACTCATACGCCTGGCTGGAGAAGTTGAGCTCACGTTACGCATACGACATGTTGCACAGCAGTGTTTGACTTAAATGCGAGCAAGCCAACCAACCATCTGTCTGTTGCATGTACTTACACGTACGTGCAGGAGCAGGAATAGGAGCAGGAGCAGCAGCAGGAGCAGGAGTTGCGTGTATTCCGTGAACAGGTGCACGCAGGTGGCACACACATTCAAGTCAGGGCCGGAGTCGTGCATACTTCGATCTGTGGAAGTGTATACCGCCTCCTGCATCAGTATGAATTACTATTAACGGTGTGCAGAATAAATTGAATTTCATTGCATGACGACGTCAATTAAAAGCATGTAAAACCGAATTGCCAATGACGTTTTTAAAATGCAGTCCAACCGTCAACGACAGGGCAGACACGCCCACTTCGCTTAATGAGTCGGCAAATGGCTGATAAAAATGCCGAGGCTATATGAAAAACGTTAACTGCTAGCCTTTGAGTTGTTGTTGTTGCTGTTGTTGTTGTTGTTGTCGCTGACATCGGAACATGGCTCACAAAGTTACCCAAACTGTCAGGGAACATTGATAAGAGTGGCAATAATGACTCGTTTCGATTCGATTCAATGCGATGCGATGCGATGCGATGCGGACTGATTCCACTCATTCGATTTGCCTGGCTTAATGGCCAGACATTAAGCGAACCCTTTCAAATGATTTAATATGCAGCATTTAATAATTGTCAAAGCAAAAGTTTTTTAATCAAACTTACTCGCCGAATTTTTAATCAAATTACAACTTTTGCAGCAGGCAGGAAATAATAAAAATTGAATTGTGCACTTATTTTTTTGTTTCTCGCAACTGCGGCTGCACTTATACGTTTAAACAAAAATCCCATTAACAATTATGACCTTCCTTTCTGCCGTCAAGTAGTTAAAACTTGAAAGCAAAGCGCACTGCCATTGACTGGGGCTTGGCTGGGACAGGGCTTGGCTTCTCTTTAAGACCGAAAACAGTTTGTATGGCTGCGCTGTTAGCGAAGATGCTTTGGCTTTGGCTTTGGCTTCGGCCCAGCCTTATTTCCACTTTTTACTTTTGAAGTTTTTAATTCTTTGAATCTTAATGACTTCTCGTAATAAGTTTTCATTTCTCGTAATTTCTTAGGTTAATAGAATCTTTCCAGCTTGCAGTTGTAGTTGCAGCTACAGCTACAGCTACAGCTGCCGTGTCAAGTAACTATAAATGAAGCGACAGTGGGCCGCACAGCCCTCGCACTCACGCAAACTTTGATGAAATATGAAAACTATTACAAATTAATTAGAACTATTCAATTGAGGCTGCTCCAAAAACTGTTCAACACGAGTGAACGAATTACGCTTAATCAACATGCCCGAGCCATAATCGAACCCACTGTGTGGTATTGAAACTTTGTGTTGGCAGCAGGAAAAGGGGCGAAGAGAGTCAGGCCATTATTATGAAGTTGACGCACAGTCAGTCAGCAGCAGGAGCAGCAGGAGCAGCAGAGAACTGCCAGGAAAAACGCAAACGACAGTAATGACGACGAGGAGGAGGAGCTCTTTCGCCGGCCCGGGATTCCTATGGCAGTGCTATTCAAAGGGAAGCGCTAGAAATGCATAAAAGTCGAGTTCATAAAACGCAGCAGGACCTCAGTTGACATTTATGCGAACCGCGTGCTCTGGCTTTAAGTTACAAAACGACCAAGAAGAACAAGAAGAGCAAGCAAGCAAGTAAAAAAAAAAAAAAAAAAAAAAAGAAATAATAATAACTGTAAGCCGCCTCAAAAGAAGTCCAACTATGAGCCGCGTTAAGCACTTGGAACGGACAGCTAAGCCCACATCATCGTCATCCTTGGCCGCGGCTAATCATAAATTCAAAAGCGGCAAAAGTGCAGCGCAGTTACAATTAACTTATTAGATGGGCTTTGGGGCCAAAACAAAAGCCGAGCGGCCAAAGGAAGCGACCGCGCAAATGAAGTGCGCGTGCAAATTGTGGAAATGAAAGCGAAACGGCAGGCGTCAAAATGACCAACGAGCAGGGAGCCTGTGTTAGCGGAACGCGGCGCAGCAGGAGCAGAGAATGTACCGGTCCTAGTTAATTTTGCACATGGGTCCTGCGTCTGCTCACTCTGACACGGCTTCCTCGCTCGGCTACTGCGCCACGTGGCGTAATTCATTTAACTGCGGCATCTTCAAAGTGCTCCTGCTCGCGCTAGTGTCTCCTGCTCGCTGCCAGCCAGAACTCTGGTGGAGCATCCTTGATTGCCAGCGACATTTGCTAATTAGGAAAATTGATTTGGAATTTATGATGCGCAAAATAGCCAGAGGATCGTGGTGGCTTGCCTCGCCCTCTAATTGAAAGTTAATGTTTTGCATAGTTCTTTCACTTAACGCACAGCTGTTTGCGCAATTCGGATCAAACGCGTTCCGTATTGTTGCATATTACATACACACACACACATATATATATATACACAGTTATTTCAACACTTCCTATTCTTCTCATTTTGCAGTTGTTGTGACATTTTGGCAACATAAAACGCAATGGCGCCAAAGATGACGCCATTCTTGCAGCTCGACAAAATGGCGACGAGGACGACGACGACGACGACGGAAATACGCTGGCTCTGCCGATTGCTGCTGCTGGGGGCTTGCATTGGCGCCGCCATAGCTCGAGGTAAATATAACCTGATTACTTCTCAACATATTCACAATTTCGCTTAGCACAACATATCAAGAAATATATTATATCGAAATGTTGTTTAAGCCATATCCGCAAATAAATCCTCAGAGTTCACTTACGGAATCAAAAATTTAGCTTGACTGAAACTCTAATCAAATTTCATTTGAAATATGTACAAAGGCAGATATTTTGCTATATCTACTCAAGTCTATATTAAACATATCAGGTCTATAGTCCTGATAAAATATATATCTGAAGTCGATCGACAAAACTTAGCTTGACTGTAACTCCAATCAAATTTTATTTAAAATACAAGCAAGAGCGATATTTTGCTATACTACTACTCAAGTACTGCCTATAGTCCTGATATGGTATATCTGAATCCATATCGAGATAGACATATTTTTTATTGGCAGGTCAAGGTGCAGGCAAAAACTAATTATCTGTCAAAATCATATTGCCAAACAAGTGCACAATGTCCTTTGTGGCCAGAGGATATAAACGCATGCGAAATATTATTAATTAAAATGTTAAAATTGTGCGATGAAAAAATCTGTTGTTGCCGTTGAATACAGTTTATAAAATGTTGCGATTGTTTTTGCCCCAATTATTATCATTTTTATACCATACGCACGCCCCACTGAAAAGAAATTTTCCAGATCCGTGGCTGATTTTTTGCTGCTATATGTACGTGCTCTGTCCGTATATTAATAATCTATATCATGTCATTTGTGGAATATTGATTTTGTCAATTTAATAAATGTGCATATTTCTATTTTTTAGTTTAAGCGCATTCCTCGACTAGTTTAAGCACTTAATAAATTTCAAATATGTGTCAACATCGCATCAATTAAAATTAAATTGAAATATGCAGCGCATTTAAGCAACAAAACTCAGCACACAACAAATAAAGAATAACGGGACAATAAACTGAACTGCCAATGAAATATGAGTGACAAAATCACACAGGGAATGCCAGCAGGGCTTACGCGGCCGATTCAATGGCGACAAACTAAATCCTTCGTCTCGACACTCAACGGCATCAACCACAGCCAAAGCCTCAATTCAAGCTGTGGCAACTAGTTGATATCCTATACAGAATAGATAGACCTCAATTAATGGCCTAAGGCAGATATCTTCTCTGTTGACAGCTATTAAAGCCTAGCTATATCTTTCTTCTTCCGGCAAACTGCCTAATAAGAATTTGCTGAATATTTTTTTCCACTATCATTTATATATTTAGTTCAATTGCAAAACCAATTACCCATTTTAGACACGCCCAATTGTATCGATTATCTATTTCGATTAGAGGGTATGATATACCAATAAAAACATTAAACAAAAAAAAATTGAAAAAAAAAAAAACACCTATCAGAATTCGCTCATACTAACCTACTGGCAACTACATATCAATCGATGCTCTTCTAGCATCAAAAAAGCAACAGTGAAGTGCTTTGTTATCGGGCGTAGCCGATGGCATGATACTCGTGTAAGCTACCTTCGTTATAGTAACTTGCCTAGCAAGCTCTTAAAAATTAAAGAAATATATAAATACATATTTAGATATAAAGGTATATATTAAATTTGTTAAGCAGCTCAACATTAGCTGAGGTAAGAAGTAAATGTCTAATCATATAACTTCGAGTCGAGTTTCGGTAAACCGAAAATCGCGATAAATCGAAAAAAAAAAATTCTATACCCTTGAAAAAAAAAAAAAAGTTCTTGATAATTCTCAATAATTTGAATTAATGTGCAAGTCGAAAAAAATATACCTTTGCCATTTCGAATTATCGGGACTCGACAGTATTTTGATTAAAGTTTGTTCTTTAGGATGATATGTTTAGATTTTAACAAAAATAATGTGTGTAATAATGCACTCTAACAGGCATTACTTGACTCACATTAATCATATAATTTATATACATAGAGTCCTTGCCGATTTGCCTTTGCAGAATTTATATATATTTCAAACTTAAAATCTATACGACTCTAACTTCAGACAACTAATTTAATCGCTTAATTTAATATATAGATCATCAAATTTATATATATACTCATTGCCGATTAGCAACGCCCTAATTTATATCCATTTAAATTTATGTCACATTAAATCTATAATCTAAATCTTCAAATAGGTCATAGAATATCAATCTGCACAAAACCAATATACTCACTTAATTTCTTGAACTGGCATACAAAATGAATTTGCGATGCAACGAATGCGGATCACGTGATTGCCATGGATATGCCATGGGATGGCCATCTCTGTGTTGCCGTTGCCGTTGCCGTTGCCTCTACCATTGCCAGTGCTGTTCCTGGCTGACGGTGGCCCGCAGCTCATGGCAATTTCATAGCCATATTGCGACAATTTTTATTAAAATTTAGAATTTTTCAATTTATTTAGCACTTCTCTCGGACGCCGTCTGTGACGGCGCTCGACTCGCTTCGACTCTCGATTTGCTGCTTGCTTTTTGATTTGTTGCAGCTGCGTGAAATTGGTCAGCAAAAAAGAAAAAACAAGAAAAACGAAAAAATGGCAATGGACCCCGTACGTGATTTGAATTTAGTTTGGCCCAGTCAGCAAAAAGTCAACATCTCGTTGTTTGTTAGCTAAGCGAAAAGCGATAGTCGGCTTAAATGCTGCCACACCCACCAGTGAGTGGGCTGGCCCATGGGAGCTCAAATTGAATTAGTCATTTCAATAATAATATAGCCAACTATCATTGCTCCTTTGCATGTTGTGTGGTATTCAGCTGGGCAAACGTCCGCGCCCTGGCAAACGAGCCAACGCGCAGACAGACAGTTCCCTGGGGCAAACACTGAAGCACAAGGAGCAACAGCAGGAGCAGCAGCAGCAGCAGCAGGAGCAGCAGGAGCAGCAACAGCTGCAGCAATACACTGTTTTGCCTCGTGCCACTGCGCGTCGCAATCAATGGAATGATATCTGCAGTGGCACATGAAACAAGTGGGTGAAAGGCAAATTAGAAATTGCAAAAATTGTCATCGGGCCTTTGCCTCTGTTGCCTCTGTTGCCTCTGTTGCTTCTGTTGCTGTTGCCTTTGCCACTTTCCACTTTCCTCTTGCTAACTGGCTCCGTAGTGATGGCTGTCAACACGCTGATAAGTGTTGCAGCTCTAGGCAGTTGCCGGTAAATCCTTGTCTGCAGACTTTCCCCCCAGGCAGCTCAGTTCGGCGCCAGCTAAATGCTAATTTTATTATGACAAATGCACAAAGTCAGCGCAAAAACTGTCTCGTTTCACATTTCGAGTCCATTTAATAATCCTTGAGTGCCACTTAGCCCAGCCCATGTGAGCTGTCATCAATCATTCACGATCACAGCTCGCCACAGCCACCGTCTTACACATCATTTTATTAGCATGTGGCTTGAGCGGTAATTTGTGCACCTCAGGCTGGAGTAAATTTAACAGGGAGCATTACTTATGCGGCTGACTGTGAGCGGCTAATTGAAAATGATCGCACACCAAAAGGCAAAGATAGGCAAGCAGCAGCTGCGCTTAACTTAACTAGACATTTAGTTGGCATTACAGCAACGCCCCGAGTCCTGCTAACAATCTTGTTGGCGCAACTGCGACGCCAATGCAACACAACAAGCAAATCGTTAAGCAAACCGACTGTAAATCGAGATTGCAGCCAGTTGCCGCTGCCCCTGCTCTGCCGGCTGCCTCTGCGGCTGCGCAGCTGTCAGCTCTAATCTAAATAAGCGATTTGTCTGCGCATAACTTTTGCCTTAACCGGATCGGCCAGCCTGGCCTAGAGCCTGAGAGTGTGAGAGTGTCAGGCAGCTGCCTGACTAAATAATAATTTGTATAATTTATTCCAGAGAACTCTGGCCAGCAGCTCAGGCATTCTGTATTCAGGTATGTGCAGCGCGATAGCTTCTTATGGCCAGCTCTCTGGTATTCCAGCTCTGCAGCTCTCCAGTTGCATTTCAACTGATACTCCTATAAATAATTAACACGTGCATAACTTCCACTTGAGGACGCGAGTCTGAATTGCAGTTTGAGCTTGTTTTTGTTTTGGTTTTTTCTCATTTTTATGGCAGCTGCTGAAGTTAGGTAAATTACATGGCCTTTGAGCAGACCTTAGTCCAGCTAGGCATATTCTATTCCATTCTATGCCGCTCCGCTGTCTGCCCTTCGCTTAAGAGCTTCCGTGGCCTTAGGGCAACCTTTTGTTTCAAAGCTTACAAAGGTGTTGCACACCTGAGGTGTGTCTGCACAATTATTAATTTACGATTAGAAACACAATGCTATTGACCTTAGCAAGCGAGTGGACTAACAATGCACAGGGCTGTGTATGCAAATATAATTTAATAATAGGCGCAGAGGCATTTTGAATATGGAATTAACAAGGCTTAAGCTGAGCCGATTATCTAAATAATAGAGACAACAGTGCTGCAGCAATAATAATAGTAAGAGCTAGTGGCTTAAATCAATTTTCAATTTCGACGAAATTCAATCACTGTTAAGTATTAACTTGGCCCAGTTGCCCTAGATGTTAATATGTTAACTGCTTTACGGCAATTGTTCCTCCAGGTGCGCCAGGCAAAGTTAATTCTAAAGGTGACGCCACATCGTTAACTGCCGGTGCTCTGTCACAATGCATATCAGCTACTCTGGCAGTTGCTCTAGCTGATATCAACCGTATCTCAGGCATACGGCGTAATACAATAGACGCAACCTGTGAGTTCCCAGGCCAGCCCCCTCGCACCTCCTTCAGCCCTCACACTACCCGCTCTTAAGATTGGTTTAGCATTCTATGAGCTGCCTGAGAGTGGATTGGAAAGTGACTGGGCGTGGCATGGGAGCTTTTGCAGTTACCCCACACTCACACACCTCTACATACACACATATATGTACTGCATTGTATAAAATTGTTGCTGTTGCTGTTGCTGCTGTAATTGTTATTATTCTTGTGGTATTGTTGCAGCTTAATTGAAAATATTGTAAGTACAACTTTGCGCTAGTCAGGGT